CAGCAGCCTTTCCATGCCCAGGACAATGCTCAACCAAGTGAACCACACCCACTAGGGCCTAACTGTTCCTTCTTAGACTCACAAATTATCTTCCTAAATTTTGACACTTTGTGTAGCCTTGCTACTTAAAGTACACGGGGCTGGCTAGAAAGGGCAGAATCTGAAGCTCCTTTCCATATCTACAGTTTAAACAACATGCCCAGGTAGTGCAAATGGGCATTACAATTTGGGGAGCTTTATTATGCTTTAAAAAAATACACTGAACCACAGATTTCCCTGCACTTGAACTTTTTTTTCTGCACTGGAATTAAGATAGTGTGTGTGTGTGTGTGTGTGTGTGTGTGTGTACGTGAGCGTGCGTGCGTGCGTGTGTGATGTACCAGTGCTTCCCACCAGCTGGTTGGGATGATTTTAACCTGCAGGAAAAATGCCCACTAGGGGCTGGTTCTATTTGCAGATAACTGAGACGAGAACATCAAATTGTACTTGTCTTAAAAGTTTTAATTACTAAAAGGGACTCTTACATAGGATTCGGGTTGGAGACTGGAGTGTCCAGCGCAATTGCTCAGCACACATCCGTCTCTGTTGCCCTGGGCAACGCCCCCAGCCTGACAGCTGGGAGCGGGCTGGGGCTCGAAGCCAGCTGAAGAGTTGCTGCAGTGCCCTCAGGTGACTTTAACCCTGTTGCCTTGAAAATCAAGCAGTTAATTGCCTAGCAGGGATTAAGGCAGTTGTTGTGAGAGCTGTTTGTCTGGTTGAGAGGTTTTAGCTCAGGAGCTAGAATTTTTTGACTCAGAAGTAAAAATTCTGGATTCTTTGTCTCCTTATCAAGTTTCTGGATAAATGGCTGGACAGAAAAGTTTTGCAGGTTTTGACAGAGCTCAACAAAATAATTATTACTGGTACTGGCAAAGGTGAGGTGTTTTTGAGTGAAAACGAAGGTTCTATTTTGTACATATTTTGGGGGTAATTTACAAACGATTGCTTTGAAATTGGTGTTCTTAAACAGCGAAAGCAGCAGTCATACTTGTAACTTTTGAGAAAGGAGAAAGCTCTGTGGTTTTGGACAACTCTGCCTTGGTTGGTGATGCAATTTTTGTTGTCTCCCCTCCACTATTAGAGTGAACCCTAAGTTCCAGTTCCACCAGAGGGACCCCTTTGGCAATGGGCATGAGCAGCAGCACAGTTGTTGTCTGCTTTCTGGCTACGGCTGTGGTCCTGCAGTGGATGGAAATGAGCACCCCCTTTCTACGTGTGGGACCTCTGGACACCCGGCTGGAACTCCCATTACACCCGAGGTATCACTCTCTAAACGAATCCTGTGTGTGAAACATCTTTTCCTGCCTTCACACCTCCACATTCTGCCACTCACTTTCCTGCAGTGGTGGCTTTTGCTCCCTATTTAAATACCAGAGAGCAACAACTGGTGACTCCAGAAATTTTGACTTGCAAACGATGTAAGTTCTCTCTCTCTTCCAAAAACAAAATAATAGGCTGATGGAGTCTTGCTCCTAATTTATTGTTCCTAAATTTTAGATTATTATCTTCCAATAGATTTTACTCTTAAACACTTAAAATGGGACAGGAGGTAGGGTTTTGTTTGTTTTTTGTATTGTTTTGATACAGCAGTAAACATTAACACACTTTCAAGTAACTCAAGTAACCTGTATCTGAAAGCCTCCCCCCACTCCCACTTCCTCTTCCCCTCCCCACTTTCAAGAAAACGCTGTTGAAGCTGATCTCATCCTCTAGACTTTTCCCCAGTCCTCTTGCTGACTCAGTGTGATGGGGCTTTGTTTCTGTGGGGAGTTTGGAGCACCTTGGGCAGAGATGGACCGTGTGGTATATGATTGTTTGTTTCTTGCTTGCTTCTGCTTATAGATTGCATCTGGAGAGCTTTCTTTAAAGCTGCCCATTAGAATGTGCTGTGAGGTTAGCTCACTTCTATTGACTAACATTTCTCAGTGCCTTAACAAGCTTCCTTTTACTTGTTTATCTTCAGGCATTTGAGTGTTGTTATTCTATGGCTAAGAAAAAATTCTGGAAGTGGAAGGTCTGGATTAAAGGATGTATCAGTTGAAATTTTAAACAGCAGTTTACCAGAATCCTGCCTGAGTCTGCGCTTTCCATTATCATTTGTAGGTGTGCTTGCTTCTGTTTTTTGTTATTGTTTGTTTTTCTATGTGATTAGCCAATTGGACAACTGAGGAAGGCTTTTGTCTATTAATTGAGGGCAAATATTTTTTCAGGTGTTTATTGGTATCCATTTCTGACTTAGTTAACTTTTTTGCCTTCCTTCTGTTGTGTTCCCCTTTTTCTTGATTGTGTAAGGTATTTACATATTAGGGAAATTAGCCCTTTGCAGTCAAAGTGTCACAGGTTTTTCTCCCCAGTTTATTTCCTTACTTTGTGTGATGGCCTTGGCCTTAACACCAGAGTTGAATTGAACAGCTAAGCTCTGTTTTTAAAACTTGTATTCGCTTGGCAATTTTTTTTGCCCAAATTTTCATTTTCAGTTTTGCAAGTCTGTTTTAGGTGAGCCTCTTAGAGAAAATATCTTGTTAGACTTCTCACTATTTTTTTCTTTTAAACCCAACCTGGGTTGTACCCTTTTAGCAGACGCTTCATTCTCCTCCTATATAATTAAAGGATAATATGCAAATCGACCCAACAACTGTTCTACTGGTTGCTGTGATGTGCACTGACCACCAGGGGGCAGACGCTTGGCTCAGGAGCTGCCCCTGGTGGTCAGTGTGCTCCTACAGGGGGAGTGCTGCTCAGCCAGAAGCCCTGAGCCGGGCTCATGGCTGTTGAGCACAGCAGTGGTGGTGGGAGCCTCTCCTTCTCCTGCCTCTGTGACAGCGCTAAGGACCCCTGGGGGATGTCTGACAGCCAGCAGGCGGACATCCCTCGAGGGGTCCCAGACTATAAGAAGGTGCGGGCCAGGTTGAGGGCCCCCTTCCCCTCCCTTCTCCCCCCAGTACCAAACGTGGTGCAACTGGCCTCTAGTATTATATATATATATATATTTTAAATTTTTGTTACATTGCCTGAGGTTTTAGTACACTTTTCTCTCTCTCTCTCTCTCTCTCTCTCTCTCTATTTCTGAAAGATAGATGGTCTATCCAACTTCTAGTGGCTACCTTTAGATCTTTAAATAGAGAAGTATCAGTTTGAGTATATTACCAACTCCAAAAATGGAACTATTTCTTTATCTCCACTCATGAATAAATAATAAATTAACAATTTTTTCTCTCCTTGCCATCCCTTTCCTTCTTTCTTCTCCCCATTTGTGTTGACACATTTTGATTTAAAAAAAATATATATTTTATTGATTTATTTTTATTTATTTTATTTTTTTTTTTTTTACAGAGAGAAAGAGAGAGGGATAGAGAGTTAGAAACAGATGAGAGAGAAACATCGATTAGCTGCCTCCTGCACACCCCCTACTGGGAATGTGCCTGCAACCAAGGTACATGCCCTTAATGAGAATCGAACCTGGGACCCTTCAGTCTACAGGCTGACACTCTATCCACTGACCCAAACTGGTTTTGGCCATTTTAATTTTTTTAATGTTTCATTCTCTAGTCAAATTTTTATTATAACATGCAGTTTTTCTTCAAGAATTATATATACCTTCACTTTAATGCCTGTGGTTACCATACTTGTGCCACCTGCCTGCTCTCTGGGTGGGAGTTCCCGGTTAGGAAAATTGATGGGAGTTTTGGTCAGCAAAATTCAAGACCATAAAGCTCTCCAGTGAGTCTTTCACTCACACATCTTCACTTGAGTCTTCCCTAATAAGGTGCGCCCTCTATAAGATATCATAGGTTTATTGCCCACTTCCCCCCTGTCATAGGTTTCCGCCCACATCCGAAGCTTTAGCCCTTGTTTCCCCAAATTAAGGGTTTAGCCCCTCCATTTTGGCATTGTGTCCTGCTTAAGTTTACAGGAACTGGATGTCTTCTAAATGATTCTCAGGTCTTTGGGTGTCCATCAGCACAACTTGCCCAAACTACCTCTAACAGAGGAAAACCACTTATAGATGTGCCCTTCTTTAAGGACAACCAGCAGCATACGCTCTCCACGTGAACCTTATTCTGTAATGCTCTGTCCCAGACAGCTCCTGCTCCCCACGACCCTCCTAATTTAGGATCCACATTTACCAGAGTACACACTGAAAAGGAGGAAATGTGAGGTTACTTGGACATTGTATTAAAAGGTCTCATCGTTCTGGCCATTTTGCTCAATGGTTAGAATGCTGGCCCACAGACCGAAGGGTCAAGGGCACATACCTTGGTTGCATGTTCCCTAGCCCTAGCAGGGGATTGTGCAAGAGGCAACCAATTAATGTGTCTCTCTCATGCCAATGTTTCTCTCCCACTCCCCACCTTCCACTCTCTCTAGAAATCAATGGAAAAAAATATCTTCAGGTGAGGATTAAAAAAACACACAAAAAAAGAAAGAAAGCTTCATTTAAGCACAGGTTCTGGCTTCTTAGTCATTTTTAAATGGAAAAAAAAATACATCAGTGATATGATTAAACTTATGGTAACCATATAATTTATTTTGCAAATCAGGACCTATTTCAGAGCAAAAGGGAGGCATACTTTCAGATTGGAGAGAAGAGGCAGTGGATCTTCAGCTTTCAATGCAATGTGTCCTTATCAGCAGGGAGGCTTAATTAAAGTCATTAGTGCCTCCAGCTAACTCCGCCTTCCTGGATGGGCTGATTGCTTGGAACCGCTGTGCATCTTTAACAAAAACAGGTTTCCAACAGGTGCCTATTCAGAGGAGTCATAGGAACTTATGCCCCAGTAGAGCAAAGTGTCTGGGTTAACCAGCCAAGATTTATTTGGGAAATACTTCTGGAATTTCCTCCTCTCAGTATGTAAGGGGATGGTTGATTGGTTTGTTTTTCTGTACCCTCTGCATTTCCTTAAGCACCTACTTCCCTGTCCTCGGCTGAGCCGTGGAGTTGGTGGTGTGATTAGAAGGCCATGGTGAGGATGTACATGTGGAGACTTTGCAGATTGTCATCTGGAAAGAAGGGCTGAACTCCAGGCAGAGAGTTGGGCTTCTAGTGCAGGGACTATGCGTCTGGGCACCAACATTCCTGGTGTTGGACAGTTATTGTGGGCCCTAGGATGCCAGTTCTCAAAAGCTTCAGAGAGGCAATAGGCCTTGGTTGGGCTTGCTTCTTTTTTGTGGGTTTTCATCTGCTGATATAGTTCACTCATTTCATAATTGTAATATGTTATTTAAAGATTCTTCTCATCAAAGTTCAAAAATAAATTTAACCTAAAGAGAGTTTAGTGTTTTAGATATTATTTGTGAGAACTAGATTTTTCTAAGAAAGCCTGTGTATTAGTAAACCTTTAAATGAAATTATTTTTTTCTTAAAATACTGATTTTCATTGTAGGAAACCACAGCTCTGACGGGAAACCAAGATGAAAACCTACTAGAAGGTAACACAAACCTTGTGTTGCAGAACTTAAAACAAAACTAAGAATGGCTAGAAACTGAAAGGCCCTACTGGAGAATGCCAGCGTAGGCTGTCTAAGCCATGTTCCTTAACAGTTCATCTACTTTTTGGAAATTGCCTCTGTGGGAACAGCTGTAGTGAAGCTTCCTCTCTGGGCCTTTCTGAAGGACTGGGAAATGGAGGCATTTCCAAGAAAATAGGATGATAGCTGATTTTAAGATCTTGTTTCCTCCCTAAGTTTAGACGTTGGGGTTATTTATGCTTTGATTTAGATTTTTAAGGGGGAAAGCATGAGACCCTCGCTGTGACCTTGGCTTCCCGGCTCCCCTTAGGGTTACCGGTCCCTGGAGGACCCAGCAGGCCCCTCTGTAGAGTCAAGTGCTTTTTTCATGTAGTTCTTGATCTATTTTGAAAAGAGCAAAGTATATCTGCCCAGAGAAGAACCCTGTTTCTGAATGTGTCTTATTCGAGGAAAAAAAGAAGACATTTGGCTTTTTTTAAAAGTTATTTTAAGTTATTGGAAAGAGGAATAGAAGCAAAATGCAGAGAACACTTTTGCCTGTTTCCTTATCAAATGTCTATCACATGTCCATCTGGTCTCTTCCCCTACCCTCCCCTCATCCCTACAATCCACTGCCTTTGTGATTTTACCAAATCTGGACCTAGGACATGACTTTAGGGGGGAAAAAAGAACAAAAAAAAAAAAAAAAAAAAAAAAAACTTTAGAACATTCAGGGAAAAATAGAAAATATCTAATTTTATGACTAGAAGATCTCAAAGGAAAGATGGTTCCAAGGGATAAAAATTCTAAAGAACAAGTGCCAGGGTCTTTCTGAGCATCTAAAAGGGTTCAGGAATCTGGAGAAGGGACTGCCTGTAAATTAATAATAAAAAAAACAACTAGAAAGATAAATTTGGATTATGTGGGGGAGCCAGAGGAGACTTGGCTACCAAGTTCTCTCTGTCTCCAGACTCAGGGATTTTTATTCCCACATTTTGGCCTATAGCAAAGCAGATATACATATCAAAAGGTAGTTTGGTGTAAGTACACATTGTCAGGTTGGGGGAACTGCCCTCAGCTGTCTGGCAGCAGGCAATCATATGTATCTTCAGGTTTGGGGAAATGCCTACAGCTGTTCAGCTGTTTGGCCAGCAGCAGGTAATAACGTAGATTTTCAGGTTTGGGGAAATGCTTTCAGCTATTCCAGCAGACATTAATATGTATCTTCAGCCCTGCTGAAGCCCCAAGGTTCCGACAACCTTTTGATGAAACTTCTTGCATTTATGACATGCTGGAATTAACCTCCAGCAAGCAAGAATCTGACAACACAGTAACAAATGACTCCAGTGCAGAAAAATAAGAAGTAGCTCAAGAAACTTATAAGATGGGCAGGGGCTATTGGATGATCTTGGTTCTAAAATGATAAATAAAAAAAGACATTGCATTAGTGAGTTCAGGCTGCTATAACAAAATATGAGCAGCTTTAACAGCAAATTTATTATTTGTGTGTGTGTGTGTGTGTGTGTGTGGTTCTGGACAGTGAAAAGTCCAAGATTAGGTGCCGCTGATTCAGTTTCTGGTGAGGACTTCTCTTCCTGGTTGCAGATGGCCGGCCACCTTCTCATATCCTCATGTGGCAGGGAAGAGAGCTCTAGAACTCTGCTGTCCTTTTTTTTAAGGCACTAAGCCATGGATCAAGGGTTTTATCCTTATGATCTCATCGCATCCTAATTATCTCTCAAAGACCCCATCTCCAAATAGCATCAAATTGGAAGTTAGAGCTTCAACATGTGAATTTGGGGGGTGGGGAGGCACAAACTGTAACAGGCATATCCTATGTAATAAAAGGCTAATATGCAAATTGACCGAATGGTGGAACTACTGGTCACTATGATCACACTGACCACCAGGGGGCAGACACTCAACCCAGGGGGCAGACAGTCAACCCAGTGGGCTCCCACAAGGTGAGTGCTGCTCAGCCAGAAGCTGGGCACAGCTGGTGAGCACAGCAGCAATGGCTGGAGGCTCTCCCGCCTCTATGGCAGTGCTAAGGATGTTCCACTGAAGGCTGGGCCTACGCCTTCAGTCAGACATTACCTGAGGGCTCCCAGACTTCGATAGGCACCGGCACTGGGCCTCTAGTAAATGAATTAGTGAATAGCATGGACACATGTGAATATTAGGAAGCACATGTGGCCCTAAATGAACTAAGGTTTGCAAAAGTTATAAAGGCACACAGAAAAGGCTTCTTCAGTTACATTCAATACAAGGGGGGGTGGGGTGGGGGGGGAAATGGACTATATTTAAAAAGTCAGTGATCTTGGAAACCTGGCAACTTGAACTGAACATCTAGGTCTGATGTTTTCATGATAACGCCACATCTCATCACAGGGTTTCAGGTTTCAGAGAAGGAAGGTCAGGCTCCTCTCTTTTTCTAAATTAGTTGTTACATATATATAATTTATTCACATACCAGTCTGTTAACTAAGGTAAAGCGGCATGGTTATTTTTTCAAAGTCCCGGCCGGGACTTGGTTTTGGTTCACTGTTTGGCACCATATCCACCCAAGTGCTCCTGCCAGAAACTCAGGTGTCAACCTCCACCCTCTCTTTCTCCTTTACCCCAAATTGACTCCACCTCCAAATGTTGCCTACTTTTCTCCAGAACCTCTCCTGATTCTGTCCATTTCCTCACTTTCATTCACCATCCAGATGCTTGTCGAGTCTGGTTGCCTACTCCTTTTTTGCTTCAATTTCTATTTTTAAGCCTTATTGAAGGGAAAACACACATTTTTAAAAGTTAACATTAATTGCCTTTAATATTTTCTGTTGATGACTTTTAAAAACTGTAAACTATTTCTGATATATGTCTTCTCAAACTTTTTTTTTTAATTTCATATGCATTATTGGCTTCCACAGATCCCAATCTTCATTTGAATATTGAGGAATTAAACAAAGAATTTATGGTGAAAAGTGAAGAACTTTACGATTCTCTCATGAATTGCCACTGGCAGCCTCTGGATACAGTTTACTCTAAAATCCCAGATGAGACCCCACAGAAACCAGATGTTCATTAAGCTACCCAATTATTGTATTAACTATATCCTGTTTTGTTTTGTTTTTCAAAAAAATTAAATTCTCCCAGGAATATACTGGGTTCTGTATGTAAATACAAATTCCCAAGACTCAAATATGATTAAAATGATAGAACATAATGTAAATAAACTTTACCACTACATTCATTTCTGGAAGTGTGTTATATTAGACTAGTGGTCCGGTGCACAGATTCATGTACATTGAAAGGAAATTTATTAGAAGAAATATTTTAATACTGCTATTTGCCCATTCTCTATAATAGAAGTGTCAGAGATGAAAGAAAATTAGTAAAATGTACATGAAAATTATAAATAGTAAATAACATGATATAACAACAACTACATGATATGAAAACAAAAACCTGATATGAAAACAACTAAAAGATATAAAAACAACAAAAACATGATATAAAGCCCTAACCAATTTGGCTTGGTGGATAGAGCGTCAGCCTGCCGACTCAAGGGTCATGTACCTTGGTTACAGGCACATACCCACTAGGGAGTGTGCAGGAGGCAGCTAATGTTTCTCTCATGGGTGTTTCTAACTTTCTATCCCTCTCCCTTCCTCTCTGTAAAAAATCAATAAAAAAAATATTTAAGCCGAAACCAGTTTGGCTCAATGGATAGAGCATCGGCTTGGGGACTGAAGGGTCCCGGATTCGATTCCGGTCAAGGGCATGTACCTTAGTTGTGGGCATATCCCCAGTAGGGGGTGTGCAAGAGGCAGCTGATTGATGACTCTCTCTCATTGATGTTTCTATCTCTCTCCCTCCCTCTCTGTACAAAATCAATAAAATATATTAAAAAAATATTTAAAAAAATGATATAAAAACAACATTGATAAAAACAATGAAGAGCTGATTAAACATAATCGAATATCTCCCTGTATATTTAGCCTTTTATAGATATAGAATAAACTTGCTTAATTAGACCTGCTTTCTGATTTAGCTATAAATTTTTTCCAGCCCAGTGAAGCACCCCAACTTCTCTTTCAGGTAATTGTCAGCAATACAGCAGTAAATATCAACATGATGCAGATTATTATTGTAGATCATGCAGGGAGAACAGGGTAAAATATTTAACTGCAGAAGAGTTTGAATACATATAAATCTCTCTTGCTGGTGCCAGTCGCATGCATGTGTTTCAATCTGTCATTGTTGATCATAAATTTGGTTGATACTTATAAAGGGCCAAAAGTAATATTAAAATACTAGAGTTCCGGCCGAAACCGGTTTGGCTCAGTGGATAGAGCGTTGGTCTGCAGACTCAAGGGTCCCGGGTTCGATTCTGGCCAAGGGCATGTACATTGATTGTGGGCACATCCCTGGTTGGTGTGTGCAGGAGGCAGCTGGTCGATGTGTCTCTCTCATCGATGTTTCTAACTCTCTATCCCTCTCCTTTCCTCTCTGTGAAAAATAAATAAAATATATATTTTTAAAAATACTAGAGTTCCGATGCATGAAATTTGTGCACAGGGGCGCGGAGGTATCCCTCAGTCCAGCCTGCACCCTCTCCAATCTGGGACCACTCGAGGGATGTATAACTGCCCGTTTAGGCTCGATCCTGGTGGAGGCCCTGGTATCTGCATTTTTCTTCTATAATTGAAACTTTGTAGCCTGGAGCGGAGCCAAGCCTCCTGCTCACTCCGTGGTGGCAGGGGATTTATTTACCTTCTATAATTGAAACTTTTTAAGTGGAGGCCTGGGCTGGTCAGGGTATGTGGAAAGCTTGGCTTCCTATATCACCTGGGAAACCCAAGCCTCCCTCCTGCTTTCTCTGTGGCCATAGCCATCTTGGCTGGGTTAATTTGCATACTCGCTCTGCTTGGCTTGTGGTCGTGGCTTGTGAGTGTAGCGGAGTAATGGTTAATTTGCATAGTACTCTTATATAAGGTTAAATACTAGTGGACTGGTGCACAGATTCATTCAGACTGAAAGAAAATAAATTAGAAGAAATCCTATCTAATAAAAGAGTAATATGCTGGAGAGAAACCAAAATGGTAGCATAGATAAACATCTAAACTGCTGCCTCGCACAACAATTTCAAAACTACGACTAAAAGACAAGACGTCTGTCACCTACACCCATGGGAAAGCTGGGTGAGTGGAAGTTCTACAACTCGAAGGAAAGGTAAAAGAGCATTGAGATGTGCACAAGCCCTGAAAAGCTGAGGTATGGAGGTGCACGAATCGGGCTGGCGGCAGGTGACTGGGTGCACTGTTTTTTCAACCAGAAGGGAGACAAGCTCCTAATTACTCTGAATTCCAGTTTCTGGGGAGACTTTGGGGACCCAAAATCCTATGTGGAGAAGCTGGACTGTCTGCCATTGGGTTGGAATGTGGGGGTGACTTTCTTGCAAAGGTACGCCCAGCAATCATTGCACATGGGGCCTTGGAAATGTAGAGACGGCTGATTGGCAGCCATTGCTGTTTGCCGCACCCTAGCCTAGTGATGCCCTGAGACCCTGCCCCACCAATCTACAAACCCACCCAAGCTCCACGCAGTGGCTTCTGCATCTAAATAGCCTGCCTTATTGCAGCTTAACCTAACAAACGGAAACTCTGCTCAGACTGCTCCAAAACCTCCAAACCCCAAGAAAAGAGGGGAAAACTGTAGTTCTCGCTGTAGCTCCTACTGGTGGCCTCAGACAGTAGCTGACCTGCACCCCACTGGAGATCCAGAAGCCAGTGCGCCTAGAGGTCTGTGTGAGACACCAGATTTCAACGCCTCACGTCCATGACACATTCAAGAGGCAGACTCAGTGAGCACCAAAGCCCCATTAATACAAGTCCTGCCCCATAAGTGTGTCTGTCTCCAGGACAGCAGTTCTTCCATTATTGACACAGCTGGTCCTCACAGCCAATTGGACACCAACAACAATCAAGACTTAACTACAACAAGGGTGTACATAGTCCACAACGGGGAGCACCAAGAGTGGCCACCTCAGGTAACTGGGAGGCTGACCCACTGGGCCATATAGGACACCTGGCACACAAAGCCACCCTAACAACTCAGGGAGGAACCAAAAATGCCGAGACAAGGAAACAGATCACAAAGGAAAGAAATGGAGGGCAACAAGTGATTGGATATAGAATTCAAAACCACAGTTTTTCAACAATTTCCCAGAAAAGGCTGATAAGTTCAATGAGACTTTCGAGGATATGAAAAAGGACCAACTAGAAATTAAACATACACTGGCTGAAATAAAAAATATTACACAGAGACCCAACAGCAGACTAGAGGAACACAAGAATCAAGTCAAAGATTTGAAGTACAAAAAAAGCAAAAAACACTCAACCAGTAAAGCAAAAAGAAAAAAGAATCCAAAAAGTTGAAGATAGTGTAAGAAGCCTTTGGGACAACTTTAAGCATACCAACATCCAAATTATGGGGATGCCAGAAGAAGAGAGAGAACAAGATGCTAAAAACTTATTAGAAGAAATAATGACTGAAAACTCCTCCCACCTGGTGAAAAAAAAAACAGACTTACAAGTCCAGGAAGCCCACAGAACCCCAAACAAAAGGAATCCAAAGAGGACCACACCAAGACACATCATAATTAAAATGCCAAGAGCAAAAGACAAAGAGAGAATCTTACAAGCAGCAAGAGAAAAACAGTTACCTACCCATATGATTGTCAGCTGATTTCTCAACAGAAACTATGCAGGCCAGATGGAAGTGGCAATAAATATTCAGAGACGAATAGCAAGAACCTACAACCAAGATTACTCTGCCCAACAAAGTTATCCTTCAGAATTGAAAGTCAGATAAAAAGCTTCACAGATAAGAAAAAGCTAAAGGAGTTCATCACCACCAAACCAGTATTATATGAAATGCTAAAAGATATTCTTTTTTTTTTTTCTAAATATATTTTATTGATTACTTACTGAGATGAAGGGTGAGGAATAGAGAGTTAGAAACATTGATGAGAGAGAGTCATCGATCAGCTGCCTCTTGCATCACCCCCACTGGGGATGTGCCCACAACCAAGGTACATGCCCTTGACTGGAATCGAACCAGGGACCTTTCAGTCTGCAGGCAGACGCTCTATCCACTGAACCAAACAGGTCTCGGCTAAAAGATATTCTTTAAGGAGAGGAAGAAGAAGAAAAAAGTAAAGATAAACATTAAGAACAACAAATACATATCTATCAAAAAGTGAATCTAAAAATCAAGTGAATTGAAAATCTGAGGAACAGCTGAAACCGGTTTGGCTCAGTGGATAGAGCATTGGCCTGCAGAATGAAAGGTCCTGGGTTCGATTCCAGTCAAGGCATGTACCTTGGTTGCGGGCACATCCCCGGCAGGAGGTGTGCAAGAGGCAGCTGATTGATGTTTCTCTCTCATCGATGTTTCTCTCTATCCCTCTCTCTTCCTCTCTGTATAAAATCAATAATATATATATATATATATATATATATATATATATATATATATATAAAAGAAAATCTGAGGAACAGAATAAACTGGTGAATATAATAGAATCAGGGGCAAAGAAAGGGAGTGGATTGATAATTCTTAGGGGGAAAGAGGTGTAAGGGGTATGGGAAGAGACTGGACAAAAATCGTACACCTATGGATGAGGACAGTAAGGGGGGAGGTAAGGGCAGAGAGTGGGATGGTAACCGGATGGAGAGGAGCTATGGAGGGGGGGGGAAGGAAAAACAATTGTAATAATCTGAACAATAAAAATTTATTAAATAAAAAGAGTGATATGCAAATTAGGCATCACTCTGCTACACCCACAAGCCACGCCCACCAGTCAATCAGAAGTGAATATACAAATTAACCCAATCAAAATGGCTGTGGCCACAGAGAGAGCAGGAGGGTGGCTTGGGTTTCCCTGGAGATGGAGGAAGCCAACCTTTCCATAAACCCTGGCTGGCCCAGGCCTCCCTTTAAGTCCATAAAATTTCAATTATAGAAGATAAATAAATCTCAACAAAAATGGCAACAGTCACAGAGTTGGAGAGAGCAGGAGGC